CGGCAATTGTTTCTCCTACCGCTACGAATCGCTCAATAGCGGCTTCGACTGCGCTGCCTACCTTTAAACATAGAAATACATCAATGATTTTTATTCAAGGGAGTAAAACAATCAACAAAGGTAGATACAAACCTTCAATGCTGCTCGAATCGCCCTTTCTGACTTCGGTTTGCCATTCAAAAGATACGACTCTTTGAAGTTGACCAGCGTGGTTATCTAAAAGGTGACTCTATGATTCATGAAGCCTTCTCAGGTGATATGCATTGATAATATGGGACGAATATGGGACTTTAGAATAAATTAACTGCAATGTCAATACATAGAATAAATTGTTTCAAAAGTAAAAGATACTTCTGCCTACAAACTTAAAACTACCAATCTATTCCACGACGGATTATATAGTCTGCAAACTGCTGCTTAACGAACATCTGAGGCGAGTCGTGAATGAGACCTCGGCTCCGTGCTAGCCACCCATTTTACCCTGCCTCTTTTGAAAGTTTCCAGTGTATTAGTATTCATAATACTTTCAGACCATTCATAATTGCACAGTACTAAGGGTTTACACTTCAATAGCAGCATTCATAGTTCGCGTCAGCACTCCGCGCGTACGGCAGCGTTTTGAGCATTTCGCGCGACTAGGGAAGTATCGAAACCGGTCTAGCATACGCCAGCGTGCAGCAGCGTTTCAAGGGACTAGAAAAGTATAAGTACTGATGTAGCGTTTTGAGCGCATGCTAGCTTTCGGCAGCGTTACGAGCGTACGCCAGATTTCTAGGCTCGTTAGGAAAGTATGGGTATCGATCAAGAATTTCGAGCGATTTCGTGGGTTTTTGACAAGCAGCCGCCCAAAACTCCAGATCATATCTACACTTTCCTAGTCGCTCAAAAAGCTGGCGTACTCTCAAAACGCTACCGTACGCTAGATCAATACCTATGCTCCCCTACACGCTCGAATGCTCAAAACGCTGGCGTACGCTCAAAGCACTTGAAACCCTGCCGTAGGCTCGAAACGCCAACGCAAGGTATGAACGCAGCCCATCCCACGAGAACATGTTTCAAAACAACTATGCAGTGACTAATCACTGGAACCTTTAGATATGAGAGATAATCGTGACAAGCAAAACAAACTAGTTAATTTCAAATTGCAAATTTCCCTGCAGACGGAAGCTCGAAACAGTAAGAGGAATGGTGGGATTCTAGGAGAAAATGGGGCTCCCCTCCACCTCGTACGCCTACGAAAGCAATTAGACAACAATTTCACCATTTTGTCGCAAGAGTTTCCTTTCATGCAGGCTCCGATGAAGGAAGCAGGAAGCGTTTTTCCTATCGCTAATGACACTATTATATGTGAATAACAACTGCAAAAAGGATCTGCTACAAAAAAGGCAGCAACTGACCAATCAAAAAGAGCAAAAGTAAAGAACAGCAAGTTGCCCACCTGAGAAACTAGTGGCACTAACGTGTGCTCGATGGATTTAGTCTTGATCTCCAAATTTCTGGCATCCAGTCCAAAACTCGTTCCACCCGCAACACTGGCTCCCGGATCCCCCACAGGGGCACGAGCTAAGGCCATACCTAAATCGGCTGTGCACATCCATGTTATATCACACTTTTAAAAATGTTGGAACGGCGAATGGAACGGGAATCTCTGCAAAGTGGAAATGTGACAAAGAAATGATAATGTGACTAACAGTCCGCAACTGGTTAGCAGAAAACGGCAAGGAACGCCTAGGACGATTCCTACTGCACTGTACGGAATATGAGAACTAAGCATACTTATAAAATCGTGGAATACGGAGACAACGTGTCCAAGTTTGGGAACTTGTGAGCGGGATTTATTTAATTACCAGAGTGTTGCATGTTCGACCTCAAAACAAATCCCTTTGGGAAAAGAACCCATCACTTCATTCCTGTATGGGGACGGCGCTATCCTCTGTCATCACCAGCGACTCTTGTGATGCGTTCATAGTTTGCGGTGCGTTTCGAAATCCTGTCAGCATTTCGAGCGACTAAGAAAGTATAGGCATCGGTTCAGCGTTTTGAGCGTCTATCAGCTTTTTGACAGTTTTGAGCGTCAGTGCAGCGTCCGGCAACGTTTTCACTGATAACCGACACCCCCCCCCATACTGTTTTTTGTCGCACAAGGAACTCAAACGCTGGTGTACGCTCAAAACGCTCACGCTAAGAATTCCCAAAAAGGTGACAGAAGTTCAAACGCTGAATCGACACCTGTACCTCAAGACCCTGACGCAAAGAATGATCGCAAATTAAACTGCCCCTCTCTTAAATAAAGGGCATAGGCTTCGCTGTGGGCCGGAGAAACTAAACACCCGTATTTAGATTTGGTGTTATCAAAAATTTATCAAACAAAATTCTCCCAAACAAGGTTGTCGTATGGACGGAAACCAATGATATTCATACAAAGCAGTATCAGGGCTATTTAGCACATGGAAAAGGTCTTCTCCAACGATCCTTGCGTCATGTGTCCCAATACATATTGCTCTGGAAGTTTCCTTGGTCACATTACTAGTTTATGGTTAATGCTACAGTTTCCTTCTCAAAATCGTTTGGCCAGTGACCACACACAGGAGTAGCGGTCGTCTTCTTTGTCACAACGGCACTGTCTCATCAGCTCGCGCTAGCTTTGGGAAGTCGTAGCTCACGGCCATGAGTCGTCACAGACGATTTTCGTTTCCTTGATCTGATCTCATATCTTCAATTTTAGATCGGCCGAACCTTCTGTATCACTGACTTTTCGATAACCTCGCTATAGAGGAGGTTCTCCAACGAAAGGTGATTTCTGGAAGGGGGGGGGGGGGAGTCTCGCACGTGCATAAAGTCGATGCATGCGCACATCTAAAATTTGTGGTCCCACGAGATTTAAAGAGAAATTCTGCAGTAAAAAGCAATCATATCAAAATTAGGGTGACACTGCAAGATCCAATGAATTGCTCAGTTCACAATGCCAGTGCCAGACGATAAGATTACTTACTGGGTAAAGATAAAATGAAGAGGGTGCTCAATAATTCCTCAGTCCAACAGCAGATCTGATTGACGTACCCAGTCGCTTTCAATTCGCGTAATCAAAATAAAAAGGTGCGAATCAGATGAACAGATTCTTTCGGAATGAACGACTGATGGTCATAAAGTGGCATAACATGTTCTAAACAACAGATACGCGGAAAATAATAAAGATTGTAAAATCTAAACCATCTGGTACTGAAATATGTTGGCAAAATTATACGAAAATAACCCAAGGAATAGCGAAAGTGGAATTAGGCAGAATACTATCACGGCTGAAATCGATAACAATGGCAGAAACAAGCATCACTTTCTTTTCTCAAACAGCATTGCATCTTTTCTAAACAACGAAACAACAGGGCATCATTAATCATCACAATCGATCGATGCAGTGATAGTGGACTGAATCATCGAGAAATGACAAAGGCGTAAGATCTCCCGAAGGAGAGAAACTCATTTATACCACGAATTGCGGTGATTATGAGCGAACGCAGTCAGCGCAACACAGCACAAATTACACACTGTCCCAGAGGTGTTGCGGCCTTCCACTATGTGGTTTTATACGTGCGATTTCAAAGCTCTCACTTATGCAATCCCTCATCGCTCGGCCTTGACATCACAACAACACCAGGGTCCACACGCATTCTTATCAGAAAAGAATGATAATAAGACAAGTACAACTAGAAGATTTAGGGCTACTTAGCTGGATTGGAGCCCTGGGCAGCGCCTTTGTACCTATTGCTTTGCCTAAAACTTAGGCTCACTGTACTATCTAATCTCTGTCGTTCGGCGATCCTGGCCGTCCGCGGCCCAAGCTTCAGCATTCCTTAAGGAAAGCAACCTAGAGACGCTTTTCTGTGCACCCTCTCCCAAATAATTTCATATTCTCAAGAAGGGGATGGCAGCTGGCTGCGTGCTTCATTTGAACGCGGAGACAGCCGTGCTTTTATGCTATACCGCCCTTTCACGGCAACTGTAGTCATGTTCCTGTAGTGCCCAAGACAGGATGACGGTAGTCTCAAATGGAAATATCCTACTGAAAGAGCAGCCGTTAGGCATTGTTCACAGTCTGCGACCCTGACGAAACGGCGGTTGGGAGAAAAGCAAAAAATAGTCATCGATCGGAGAATCGCCAACCGCTAGTTTCGCCGAACCGCCGCGGTTCGGCGAAAAGCAATAGATGTGTATCGATTTCGCTGGCGAAAAACGCCACGGCGATCGAGCTAGCGTTTCGTCGAAGGCGAAAAACGTCGCGGTTTGGCGAAACGCCCGTCGATTCGTATCAAAACCCTTTCGCCCAACCGCCAGACTCTTCGCCCAACCGCCAGTCGATACGTATCGAAAGCTTTTCGCCGAACCGCTGCGTTCCAGAGAAACGCTGGGCCGCAGACTGTGAACAATGCCTTAGGCAGCGTGCCGTGATCGTCGGTACATGGCAGAGCGCGCCCCAACGCTATTACTTGGACCGCTCCGAAGGCTTTTAGGGAGAAGCGACTCAATTTCATGCTTTTTTTCCTTTAACTGCAATTTTCTTAGGTACTGAAGCTTGGTTTGACACAAAGAAAGGTGAACCCATCTTAATGGCTTTTGTTTTCTATTTTCTTTCTTGATTCAGGATAGAAATGAGCAAAAAGCGTGAGAGCTTCATTTAGGGTAGGTTTTTATTGTTTCTTTTTTCATTCGTCGAGCTTATACATGAGGTTATAAAGTTTTCACCTGTTGATGTTGCGTAAAATGATTAGTGTTTTGGTTCCTAGGTGAGTTTCTTTCTGTTTCTTTTTTTTCTTCGTTGTTTGAACTCGACTTGTAAACTATAAATGTTTTGGAAGTTGGAACAGTTCAGACGATAGGAACTTTTGAGGCGCTTGCATAAATTGAAACAATAAAAACAAAAGAAAAAAAGAAGCTCACCCAGGAAATGGAGTTGGCCTTATCCCGACCTAAAAAGAAGTGAAACCTCCTTACCTCATATTCCAGATCCGCTTATGTATAGAAAGTCGTAAGTTATCAGTTAGTAGCCATTATTAAGAGAAAAGAAGGTCTCACAAGTTGGATTCCCTTATTTATCAAGCGAGCGGTCCATAATAGCGTTGGGGCGCGCTCTGCCACGTACCGACGATCGCGGCGATCGCCGAGGTCGCCGCGATCGCCGCTGCTGTCGCGAAGTATGAACGCTGCCTTCCACGATCAAACGGAGTACGCAGTCACGCCCACCCCACCTTCGGTGTATGGAATGTATGGAATGTACTCAAGCGCCCGGTGTTCATGCTATGCAACCTTATGTATAGTCTAGTTCGCTGCGCACGAAGGGGCATGTCAGGCGGAATTAGTTTGGCGCGGTGCCGAACCCGTTCTCACCACTTATTGAAGCGAGCAAGTGACAAGACTGTATCATATCGTTCGTATCACTCGTTTTCTACCAACTGTTGTCGCATACCCGCTTCAACAACTGGCAGAGAACGGGTTTGCGCCGTGGCACACTCATACTGCCTGACACGCCCCTTCATCCGCAGCGAACTAGTGTTTATAAGGCATGTATAGAGAATAAGGACATGAATTAAATTAGTGGATTTCTTGTATTTGCATTTCATATGATTTCGAACCATTGAGAGCGTCTCACGACTTTGGTTTCAAATAACTGGTTTTAAAATCGACTAGAAAGATGAACTGACAAAATTAACAACAAAGCTGCTCTACCTCTGAACGAAAGTCTCGCAAACTGTGAACGCTAGTGATACAGCAAAAGGGGCTGAAGGGCAGAACTACCAAACAAAAAACAGTACAAGAAGAAACAGGGCCGAGTTTGGGAAAAGAATTTGACGGTTTTTCACAACCATTTCAAAAAATCACTCGACACAAGCTCTTTTGGCGGCAACTACGAAGTGAATGAAGTTCTAAAATTATTGAATTGTCTTTTGCGGGGTAAGCGAGAATTGTTGCAGAAGTAGGCGACACCTTCCGGACTACATTGCTTTGGAGTTATCGAAATAATTCAAAAGTTAATACAGCCTACATTATCAAAATTACGCAATTTTCCAATCCAAAAAAATTTTAGAAAAAAGCCTTCAATGCGACTTTAGGCTGTAGCCCACAGCCTGGCGGTAACAATGCCTCACGGATTTTCACGACTGATGTTACTGAAGCTGTTTCCGCCCGTTGTAAATCGCTCTTGAGCAAGATTGCAACCCGTTTTTTGCAATAACAAGTAACGCAACATTCTTAACATCCTACTCACTTCTTCTGCGGAGGGCTAAAGCATACATGGATGTAGAAAAGCGGCTAACTCAGCCTCGGCAACGAAGTGAACTACGCCTATGATCGAAGGGGACGGGCATACTTAACAGGTGAGTGGAACGAATGATCGATCGGGTGCAAAATATTGGGATGTGAGAGAGTTACAGTAAACAGGGAATGTGGGGTGGACGGAACAGAGTGAAGAAGACGAAAGCAGGGTTGTAGGCAAGTTTCTTGAAAGATGCTTTGCTTAGAGGCAAATTGTAAATGGTTCAAACAGAAAAAGTTGCAAAACTGGTAAACCGCGATCGAGGCGAG